AGGGCCAGGGATTTAGCTCAGTAGTTCCACCACCTGCCTCGAAAGCACAAGGTCCCAAGTTCAATCCCAGGTACCAAAAATAAAGATCATCAGACAGAGAACCTTTAGCCTTTACTTAAAACCCTAAATAAAGTAACACAAGAAATTCAGAACTGTACATCTAAACTCAAATACTTTTAAAAATGAATTACAGAGATAATTCTTGGCCATATCTGCCATGACCATGTCTTGTTATTTGACTCATGTGTATAACTAAACTACTTTTCATTAAAATTTCCTGAAGCAAGGCAAAGGAGAAAAGATTAATTATATTCCTCAGCAATATTTGTGTTTGGACTCTGTCTTGAAACTGCTTGGATTTTTGTCTCCCTTTGGTTGATTTTCTTCTTAAGTTTTGGCTCATGAGTGGTGGTTATGAGAATTAGAAATTTTTAAATTTTCAGAAAGCTATTCCATACCTACTGGGTCAAAGATTGAGTGGTGTGATTAGCTAATAGTGCAGAGCTAAGAAGATCAGAGAATGTCACTAGTTATGGCTCACATGTCCCAAATGAGTGCACTTGGAATCTTCACTGGGAGAATATAATTGGGTTGGAAAGGAGTAAGAAAGAGGGAGGGAAATCCTACAGTAAGCTTCTTGGCCACAACACAGAAGTGAATTTCTCTTTCTGCTGTTGAGTGGATGAGTTATGGAGCATTTAGAGGTGTAAAAAGCTATCTTTTAAAGTCCTAAACAGATGCGCCTGTTCATGTAAGCTATAGGCAAAGATAAAAAATACTGCCCCATCTGGATATGTTCTAATAAGCAGGTAGAACAACCATTTCTAGGACATTATTAAGACAGGTGAAATCATGAGCTCTTGAGAAACTCTCGATGCTCCATGGGGAAATATTTCATTGTCAAATAGACTTCCCTTGTCCCAGCTCTTTACCTTATCTGTTATCCCATGTGGATGATTGCCAGACTAATGAAGTATGTATGTAGCAAGGATGCTTTCAGTTTGCATACAGACTCGGTTAATCGCTGATACAGTGATTTCCTTTTTTTATTTTTAAATTTTAATTTGCTGTTTGGTATGTAAAAACAAAAAGGTTACGAACTTTTTACCAGAAGTATATACAATACACAATACAAATCTTAAAAGCAAGGCCTTCTAAAGTAAAAACTATGGGGCAGGGGGTGTAACTTAGGGGTAGAGCACTTGGCTGTCGTGCACAAGGTCCTATATTCTATCCCCAACCCAGCACAAAAGAAAAAAACCCCAAACTATAAAGTATCACTTCTAAACAGGTTTATTTTGGTTTTTTTGTTTTGTTTTGTTGTTTTGGGGGGGGTTTTGGTACCAGGGATTGAACTCGGGACCTTGCGCTTGCAAGGCAGGCACCAGAACCACTGAGCTAAATCCCCGGCCCCTAAACAGGTTTATTTTGTATAAGCATTGTTTTTCAGCACCTCCTTCATATTGTTGTAAATGAGGAAAATTACAGGATGATAAGGATTGTTGGTATTCTTGTTGCAAGCCACATCCAAAGCATTACATTATAGCTCTCTTTGAAGAGAGCCATGTAGTTTCATGCCACACTGCATACTTCTTAAACTGTGCTAACTAGAGTGTGACTACCCCAAGTCTTAAGAGGTGTTTGGATCCATTTGCCACTAAATTAGTAGCTGCTAAATTGTGGTCCCCAGGCCAGTAGCATCCAGGTTATCTGGGCACTTGTCACAAATGTAAATGCAAATTCCCAGGCCTTGTGTCAAAACTTTCTCGAGTCGGGAATTCTGGAATGGAGCCCAGCAATTGTACATTACAAGCCCTCAAGGTGATGCTGATCACATTGAAAACTGGAGGACCACTGTACTAAAAGCATGGAACTCTGTTTCCTTTCCTGAGGGGAAAAAATAAAATGTCCAATTAAACTAAACTTTGTGTATTCCTCCTTACAGAAAGAGCAGCTTATACTTCCACACGATACACTCATCTTCTCTTTCTTCATTGGCTGAGCAAATCTCGTCAGATACAACACACAGTTAATTTCAATAGCTTTACCCTCACCTTAGGTTTGCATTGTAGAGCTCTTGAGGTGTCAACAGAGGGAGCATCGTCTTCTTTCATGTCACTGCTCACCATGCCATTCATAAAGAATTCAGATGACTCCCAGTTTATGTCAGCAGGTCAAGTAAGGGGTGATGGGGCTGGTTGTCTCTTGAGATGTAATAACAAGATAGAAGGTAGATACTGAAATTGCACATGAAAAGAACAAAGACCTACAAAGGACAATGAAACTGAATGAGGAAAGAATATTTCAATATAATGGACAGCTTAATAGTCTCACAGTAGAAAATACAATGCTAAATTCTAAACTGGAGAATGAAAAACGAATCAAGGAAAGACTGGAAGCAAAAATTGAATCATACCATTCCAGACTGGCTGCTGCTGTACACGATTATGATGAAAGTCAGACATCAAAAAGAAATGTGAAACTTTCATTCCAGAGAGCAAGGGATGAGTGGGTTCATTTACAGCACAAACTGAATTTTGACATATCTACCCTAAAAGGTAACAATGAGATGCTTCCCAACAGCTTTCTCAAGCTGAAAGAAAATTCAGTAGCCTAGAAATTGAGCTCCATCATACAAGAGATGCTCTTAGAGAATAGACTTCAGTTTTTAGAACATGTACAAAAAGACCTAAAGCAAACACAGTGTCAAATGAAGAAAATTGAACACATGTATCAGGATGAACAAGGGAAAGTGAATAAATACATAGGAAAGCAGGAATCTATAGAAGAGAGATTATCTCAACTACAAAGTGAAAATGCATTGCTTCGACAGCAGTTGGATGATGCTCACAACAGAGTTGACTATAAAGAAAGGACACTAATTAATATCCAAGACCAGTTTCATGGTATTGTGAAGTCACTTCAAGGTGAGAGTAGAAAACAAACTCACACTGGAAGACAGAAATAGAGTTAATCGAGAATGTAATCATCTAAAAGAAAGAATATATCAGTATGAAAAGGAGAAAGCAAAAAAAGAATTGGAAGAACGGAATCAACACACAGAGGCTGTGCAAAAACACCTGCAAAAGCTTGAACTTGAAAATTCCAGGCTAAAAGCTAAAGTGAAAAAGCCAGCAGGGAAAATTAAACACCTCCAGAGAAACCTCTTAAGCGCAAATTTGGCTTTTTCTACCACCTGAGTCCTGAATCCTTTTAGGATCTTGGCTAGAACATCAGAAGCTCTGGCATCCCCTTCTCTTGGAGAGAAGGGAGCCATCTGCTGGTCAGGAGCCCTTGTAGCTACTCCAGTCGGCAGCTTTTCCCACAACCAAGGCAGGAAGGTATTCCTGGAGGAAGCAGGAAGTAGTGCCTAGAGCTGGGGCTGAAAATGGGTTAAAAGCTTGATACTGTAGCTTTGAGTATCTTTGTTTCACCTTTCTGTAAGTTGGAGTTGCAAGGGCCTGCCTGAATTTCCCAGTGAAACAGACCATAGTTGGTCTTCATCTCTTTTTTTTTTTTTTCTATTTCATTGCTGATAGTGTTCAACAGCAGTACACCCCATCTTTATATATTCTAAGTAACACTAAGCTTAGATTTTTATTAGCCAGCATATTTTTGTTTTTAATAACGTTGTTCCTGGGCCAAAAATTAACACCAGGAGCCCCAGTCTGTAGTTTCCTGAAATTGCCAGGCTGGGCACAAGGGGAAGGAAGGGTTCCTGGGTGTTGACTGACTTGGGTGGGCCTGGCCAGAAGAAAGGCAGAACGCATCCTCTGTCCTTTCAGGAAGACCCTGGCGCCCTCAAGAAGGCTCCCCCACCTCTCTTGAGTGGCTTGGCCCATCCCTTGCTTGTGAGAGAGGGAATAGATTTTTTTTTTTTTTTTACTGAAAGGGAGCTCTGCTCTCTGGGTGGACAAGATTCCTGAGCCTTCTGCTCCTTCAGCCCCTTCTTCCTGTGCCCCAGGGGGTCAGAGGTCCTCATATCCTGAGTCTTAGCTGGTAAGCTTCAGAGCTAGCTGAAGCTGCTATCTGCCCTTGTTGTCCAGCCCAGCCATGTCAGTGAGCAAGCCCAGATCCATTGTGACTGTTGGAGGGTGCCCCGTAGCAGGGGACTTGGAGTATATTGGGCTAAAGGGGATCTTCCCTTCCCACAGCGCTGAGCAGGGGAGGTGTGGAGGGGTGAGGAAGCCATGCTGCTGAATTCTGTTGGCATTCCCCCCTTATGTAAAATGGAGTGTCTGGGGGTGGGCAGCCTCTGCTTGGAGTTGGTTAGAAGAGAAGCAGTTGTCCCATTCAGTTATTTGAGCAAACAACTACTGTAAATAACTTGTTTTGTCTTTTGTCAAATAAAGTTGTTTTGTTTTTATTTTTTAAAAAGATTGAAAGTAGAAGCAACGAATCTTTATATGTGCAGAGTAGCCACTGGCATATTCAGAAGGAGAGATAAGAGAAATTGAGTTATCAGGCAGAAAATCTGTAATCAAAATAAATAATGATAGGAAGAAAAGGCATCTTAAAACTCAGGCCAGGGCCCAGTACAGGTAGATCAGTGTCAGCTTTTTTTCAATCATACAGTGGTTTTGTCTTACGTTACTGTACCTAAAGCATAATAAGTATATTAGTATACCTGTTATAATCTCAGATACTTTCTAAATTTTACAAGGTACAAAAATTTAGAATTGCCTATGGGTAAGTTGCAAAGAAGAAGAAACTTCCTGGGGTCTTTAGAAACATTACTGAAATCTGCATGGACCTTTTCCCTTAACCTGTAGAACTGGTGACTCGTGGTTGATTCAAGGGCATGAAAGGAACTGTGTGGGTAATATCTGCCTATGTATCCTGTAGTGAAGATGTGGATTATAATCCTATATATGTCATTCATTCATTATAATCCTATATATGTCTGTAATGTTTATGTTTTTTTCATACATTTGACTTGAGAAGTAAAATTGATAGCTCTCAGTGATAACTCTAATATAATATTTTCTTATTTCAAACAGCTAGTTAAAGGCCTTCAGCAAGAGCTGAATCGATTATATTCCCTTTTCTGTTCTCGGAATCCAGACTTCGAAGAAAAAGGGGGTAAAGTCTCAATAGTGTCCCATTCCTTGGGATGTGTAATCACTTATGACATAATGACTGGCTGGAACCCAGTGCGACTGTATGAGCATCTGCTGCAGAAGGAAGAAGAGCTACCGGATGAACGGTGGATGAGCTATGAAGAGCGGCACCTTCTGGACGAGCTGTACATCACGAAACGACGGTGAGATGGCCTCATCCCGGAAGGAGCCCGGATGTCTCTGAGGAGTTTCCAGACCTCTTAGGAGAAGGCTTTAAGATGTTCATGATTGCAAAAACCAGTACCTTGTTGGGGATAAAAAGATTGCTAACAGCATGCCTAACCAAGCTAGAGACTATTTGTTAATTTTCATGCTAATCACATTCATTTTCCTGTAACATGAAATAGTTTTGTTATTTTCTTTTTTTTCCTCTGTCTTTCCTCACTGCTTGTTAGGAGTGAAATCTAAAACGTACTACAAGCAGAATCACTGCATAGAACCGTTATTGAAAATGTTTGCCAGTTTGTGTTCATCTTACTGACCTTTAGAAGGGGATCTCTAAACGTTTAAAGATAGGATCTCACTTTACTGCCCAGGCTGTCATCGAGTGATTCTCCTGTCTCAGCCTCCCAAATGGCTAGGAGTGCAGGCATGCACCACTCATCTTTTAAAACTTTTTGTTTTTCTTGACAAATGAATTTTTTATATATGTTACGTATAAAAACGTAATTATATATGCTGTAAATTATAGACAGATTTTGTAATTACTTCATCACTTGTGGCCTCCTTGATATGCTGTGTTAGCTCTTTGCTACATTTCCGTCTTCATCTATAGTTGCATACACCTTCTTTGTCCTCTTACTAATGCAAGGGCAGTTCTGATAAAATAGTGAAAAAAAATCACTCATCTTGATAGTTCGGCATTATATAAAAATAACTGAGCTAACTGATGGAAGCTTCTACTCAAAGTCTCGGTTTTGTTACTCTTAGAAAAGTTGTCTAAGGGTTTCATTCAGGATCTCATTAATATCATAGGCTAGACTCAAATATTATAATAACAAAATAATTGATAGTTATGAAAGAAAATGTCATGTGTGGCATTTTAGATGTGTAAATCCAGTAAAACTTTGTTTTTTTAAAAAAAAGCTTAGAAAATAAACTAGTAACGTTTTTGGGGAAAAAAACTTAGTTCCATCATTTGTTAAATATAAGATTCATGGGCTGGGGATTTAGCTCAGTGGCACCATGCCTGCCTCGCAAGGGCAAGATCCTGAGTTCAATCCCTGGTACCGCAAAAAACCAAAAAAAATATAAGTAGATTCTGAACCTTGTAATAAGGAAAAAGTGAAATAATGCACATGTTCATTGGTGAAGAAGGAGTAAACTGGCTTGTCGTATGATGAACAGTAACAGAAAAATTGCAGTAGGTCAGAAGGCAGTAAAATGAAAATATCTCTAAGATTTATTATTAGAAGTGGGAAAGAAAAGCACATTTTAAAACAGAAGAGAATGGACGAGTCAGTATTAACCATTTGATGTGGTTTTTTAAACGTTTAGGTTTGTGCATGCCAATGCTTACTTTAAAAGCTGGGCTGGGGGTCCGTCTGAGCAAGAAGGCACTTGCCTACCACGTGGAAGGCTGTGGTTCTGTCCTCAGCACTGAGAGGCTGTCAACAGAGGTCTTGGGAGAAGTATTTTTACTCACTGCTTTGTAAGTTGTTGTGGACTTTGTGTAGTACCGCAAGTCCATTTATTAATGTAAGCCATTGGTACTGGGTTATCATCGCTTTTGTAATAAACTGTGGATTAATATAATGCTGATTTATAATGTGATTGTAAATAACCTCATACCACTTCCTAGGCTGAGGGAAATAGAAGAGCGGCTGCATGGGTTGAAGGCATCATCCATAACACAAACCCCTGCCTTAAAATTTAAGGTAAGGAACAGTGATCAATTTTTCGTTATTTAAGCAGTTAAATGTTTATGGCACAAATGCAAGTTTGATTGTGAATAGTTATTGAATATATACTGTGTGTTGGACACTGTTGTTTCCTGGGTTCTGCAAAAGAAAAGAAAACGGAGAAGACAGTAGCCAGCCCTCAATACAAAACATAGTATTCTTGGTGCCGTTTGCAGCATACATGATGATACGTGCATGGGAGAGGAAGGTTTTCATTTTCCCTGGAAAATTTACAAGCAAGGACATCAGTATATGATCTCAATAGATTAAATTGTGCAAAGCAAAAGAATGTAGAGTATTATTCTGCGTAAAGGGAACAGTATAAACAAAGGTTTGCTGGACATGGTAGCACTGCAATCCTGGCACTCAGGAGGCTAAGGCAGGAGGATCACCATAAGTTTGAGGCCAGCTTGAAGTCTCAAAAAAAAAAATTAAAATTAAAAAAATAAAGGTATGAAGGTAACTTCATAGTACCTCAGGAAACACCAAATAATCTAAAGGAGTGAGAAGAAAAGTAGAGACAAATTTGGGAAATGTTTACTATTTAGAATTAACAAACCTTAGTTGACCAGAGGTGAGAAAATAATAGTGGAAGTAAATCAGCAGTGATTTCAGGATAGAAAGCTGTGTTTCAGCCCTGAAAATGTATGAGACAAACCCAAGACAGGCTGACAGGGCCAGTTTGGCTGGAATTACAAGCAGGAAGCTTTCGGAGTTTCTGAGCATCAGAATCACCTGTTGAAAGTGACGTTTGGGGGAGACACAAGGTGGCAGAGAGCTGTGACACTGCCTATAGACTGTTGAAAGGGCACCCCCTGTAGCGGAATCCCAGATTACTTGTTTGCAGTAGTGGACGGAAGACAATCTTAAATTTTCTAATGCATTTCCTGTTAATATGTGCTCGTGTCTAGTGCTCTGTATTACCTCTCCTGAAATAGGTTTCTCAAATCACATGACATTAACCTACAGGTTCAGATGTGGAATGATTCATAAGACAATTTTAAACAATTTTTTTATTGACCCTGTGATTTACAAGATTGTTACTGACACCTTGTATTTAAAAACTGTAGAGTAGATCATGGAGTTATACCGGCCTAGAATTTGAGTTTCATCTCCACCATTACTATTACATCTAATCAGTGCTAAATGTATAGAATTAATCTGGTAGAAAAAGCGAACTCTTCTACTTTATGTTCTGGGTTTTTTACCAGAGAGTTGAGTATATTAGATTGTCAGAATTCAATACTATATGACTAGAAATTAAGCACTATAATTATACAT